GGTTAACCCTTAGGAGGCTATGCCAGTAGTGGAAGCTATTGTGTCATTGGGGAAGTCCTTGGGGCTGGAGGTTTGTGGCGAGGATATGGAAGAGTTGGTGCAGAACGACGAGGAAGAACTTACCACTGCAGACCCGCAAGAGCTTCAGGAGCAACAGCAACAGATCACATCTCAGGAATGTTCTTCAGAGCAGGATGAAGAGAGACGGAGGAAAATGACTTCAAGGATTAGGGAAATGTGTTCAATGTTTACAAAGGTGCAAGCATTTATTGAAGAATTTTATCCTGTCACTGAAGTTGCAAGCCGCATCGGCAACATGTACAATGACACTCTTGTGTCCCATTTTAGGGAAATCCTAAGGGCACGTGAAAAACAGAGCTCTCTGGACAGCTATTTTGTGTGACAGGGATCCAGTGACTCAAGCTGGTTCTACTGGCATTAAAAAAACCAAGGAGGGAGGTAACCCCACCAAAGGACTTGGTACCTGAAGTTCTTCTGGAAGGGGATTCTCCTTCCAAGCAATTGACAATTCTGAATTTCTCCTGCTGCTGGCACATCACTCAACAACAACTCCACAATAAAGTTAAGTGGCATTTAATTATTGTTTATGAAATGTATATTTCGTGTAAATTTTTTTTTTCAGACTTTGGGGGTGTCAGGAACGGATTAATTCGATTTCCTTTATTTCTTATGGGGAAAATTAATTCTACCAATGGCAAGCCCTCTGGAATGGATTAATGCCATTGGTTGAGGGTCCACTGTATTTATACCACACACTGCCCTTAGACATGACATCTCCACTGCCTCCAGCCTCCTCCTCACTACTACAGTGACAACCCATACTTTACACCCACACAAGAGTGTTGATACCACTGGTCTCGTACATTCTCTTTGCCTCCATTTTTTAATGGTCTATAAATTCAGAGAAGCATCTGGCTGTATTACAATTTCCATAAAAGTTTGCCTTCTATTGTCTGATTATATTTGAAACATCTAGATTTTCCTAATTCATTCATACAAGGCATGTTCAATGTTCATCGACAAGTTTTCAAAGTGGTTCAACAAAGCTAAGATAATTTGGTCATACTTTACTATTTTAAATTTCATTGTACGTGCTTTGTTTATAATGTTTTCACAATGTACTCCCATGTAAGATGTTGCCTTTTATTTTTATTACAATCCCTGACTGAAATTAGCAAAAAATTGCTTGTAAAACATTAAGTGGAAAGTCTGTTCTTACATGACTAATATTAAAGTTTAGATAAAAAAAAAAGTTTACAAAAGCAGAATATTTGCATCTGCTAGGGATTTAGCACCCAACTAACACTATCAAGTTTAACTGCAAACAAATTAAGTTTTATTTATGCTTTTATTACAATAAACTTTCAATTTCTGAACTATTCTACAATAAATAATGGTGCAGTTTATAGGGATATCTAGATGTGGTGCAGTGTTCATGCAATTCTGGCAAGACTGCAACTGAATGAGTTAGGTTATATCTTTGATGAGTTCTGAGAGTTTTTCTACTTACAGAGCCTGGCCATGGTCTGAAACTGATTTGGGAGGCAGCTCTTGTGGCACTACTACCTGATGTCCCCTTGCCTCACCCAGTCATGTGCCTGAGCCCAGGCCTGCTTCCTGCAGAGGCCCAACCCTCAAGATCCAATCCTCATCCTGAAATTATGCATCTAACTTGCCAACTTCCATTACCTACATTAACCCCTTAACTGTCCAAACAGATCTGTTCTCTCGCCCAGTGCTCTCAATATAGTGTGTGTGTGTGTGCGCGCGTGTGTGTGAGAGAGTGTGAGAGAGTGAGAGAGTGTGAGAGTGAGAGAGAGAGAAAAGAGAGAGAGAGAGAGAGAGAGAGAGAGAGAGAGAGAGAAAAAGAGAGAAGAAAAGAGAGAGAGAGAGAGAGAGAGAGAGAGAGTGAGAGAGAGAGTGAGAGAGTGAGAGAGAGAGAGAGTGAGAGAGAGAGTGAGTGAGAGAGTGAGAGTGAGAGAGTGAGAGAGTGAGTGAGAGAGTGAGAGAGTGAGTGAGTGTGAGTGAGTGAGTGAGTGAGTGATAGTGAGTGAGTGAGTGAGTGAGTGAGTGAGTGAGTGAGTGAGAGAGTGAGAGAGTGTAGAGAGAGGTGAGATGGTGGGAGAGAGAGTGAGAGTGAGAGAGAGTGAGAGTGAGAGAGAGTGAGTGAGAGAGAGTGAGTGAGAGAGAGTGAGTGAGTGAGAGTGAGTGAGAGAGAGTGAGTGAGAGAGAGTGAGTGAGTGAGATAGATATAGATAGATCTGGCAGAAGGCATAGTCACTTGTCAACCCCTCAGCTACGTTGGATCGTCTGACCACAAGGCTGTTTTTACGACACTTAAGATCCCAACAGAACGAGGTGGGGAGTCCACACGCACAACCTGTCTATGGGAAAGCGGTAACTGGCCAGCCCTATGCTCTGAGCTCTCCACCACCGATTGGAATGCTCTTCTCCAAGGGGATGTTGACAACCAAGTGAAAGCTTTCACTGGACACATCCTTAATCTACAACAAGAACACATTCCTCACCGGCAATATGTGACGAAGCCTACAGATCAGCCTTGGTTTGGCTTTCGTTGTATAGAGGCTGCTACTGCTAAGTACAAAGCATGGCGATGGTATAAGACATCCTACCACCTATAACAGGAACTTGCATAGGCAAGCCTGTAGGCATATGGGTGATGTTCAACAGTGGGCCATTGCTAAATGGGAGGTGGACACAAAAAGAAAGCTAGCATCAGGTAGGGTAGGCTCCAAAACCTGGTGGTCCCTGGTCAAGGTTATCTGCCTGATGAACTCATTCCACCTCTAAATCAACAGGATGGGACCACCTCTACTAGTAGTCAAGAGAAGGCGGACCTCTTTGCTGAACACTTTGCTACCAAAATGCAAGTTCCTGATCCAGCAAGGGACCCTTCTTGGCTAGCTGCAAGAACTGTGTCAAAACTGTCAGTGGTGACAATAAGGCAGGAGGTGCATTTCCTTCTTAAATTGCTTGACCAAGAAAAGGCTGTGGGCCCAGACAAGTTGAGCCCAAGATTGATGAGATGTGCAGACCAGCTAGCAGCACCTCTAACTGGCATCTTTCAGCACTGCCTAGTACAGTGTAAATGGCCCTCTCTATGGAAAGAGGCAAATGTAGTCCCTGTTCACAAAAAGAAGAGCAGAGCAGAAATCAGCAACTACAGACCAGTGTCACTCCTGTCAATCACTGGTAAGATCCTTGAGACAATAATCTTAAGACAAATGACAGAGTTTTTTGACTACCACTCACTACTTTGTGATCGTCAATATGGCTTCAGGAAAGGTTACTCTGCTGCTTATCTGTTGTTAAACCTCTCCACTAAGTGGCACCAGTCACTGGATGAATCCAAAGTCAGCTGTGTGGTAGCACTGGACATTGCTGGCGCTTTTCGACCGGGTGTGGCACCAGGGCCCCTTAGCAAAACTTCAAGCACTGGGGAAATTCAGGCTCTACACTATGTCCCCCTCAGATTACCTTCATGGTAGATCTCTAAGTGTAGTTCTCAATGGAACGGAATCAGCAAAACATCCTATTGGGGCAAGTGTTCCACAAAGATGCGTGCTGGGACCATTGTTATGGAATGTCTACTTTAACGACCTTCATCTCATCCCAGAATCACATGCATATGCAGACGACTGTACACTGACATTCACTTATCCAAAGGAAGAAATGCCAGCTGCTCTAAGCTACATCAATTTACCAGCTGAGAGGTATATCAGCTTGGGGAAATAGATGGCAAGTAACATTTGCACCTGAGAAAACGCAAATGATGATGATCATCTCTAGGCACCATGATGGTAATGCTGGTGCAGTAGTAAGGATGAATGGAAGGGTGTTGGCACCTGGAGAAGAAGTTGATATCCTTGGGGTGAAATTTGACTCCAAACTAACCATGAAGAACCAGGTGTAAATCTTGCAAAAAAGGCGCCAGGAAGCTTTCAGCACTCGCCGTATCTCGCATCTCCCTTTACAGTAGGGGTTGCAAGATTCTGTACGAGGCACAAGTACACTCAAACCTCGAGTATGCTCCACTTTCTTGGTTTGCCTGCCCCCCTCTCATCTGCGACTGCTTGACAGAGTAGAGAACAGAGCAAGACATCTCGTCTCTCGCCTGGACCCATCCTGGATAGATCTGTCGTTTCAGCAGAGCCTTCAACATAGGAGGGATGTGGGTGGCCTTACTGTTATGTACAAGGCCAATATTGTCAAAGTACCACACTTGGATCCACTTCGAGGACAGCGTGAAAAAGCTTTTATGCCACAAGACTGGCAGAAAGCAGCAACTTCACTCTGGCTGTACCCTTCTCCAGAACATCACTCCATCTGAGATCATATATACCCAGGATGACTCGAGTATGGAACACATTCGTACAGCATAATGATGTCAACGAGATAAAGTCAGTTGATCAAATGAAAATGCTGGCCCACAGATGGCTCCAATTTCATCCTGTTCCTTACTTGTATGTCTCATAACAATAAAAATTCTTTCAAATGAGCTGATGTAGGTAACAGCTCTTAGCTTGCCAATAAAGTTAGGAATCCTTAACCTATAAATAGCTTGTCAATAAAGCTAGGGATCCTTTATCTTGTCAAACCCTGTTTAAAGAGAGAGAGAGACAGAGAGAGAGAGAGGGGGGGGGCAGCAGTGCTTTGTGGGAACGCCATTTCAGTAGTTCTTGTTCAGCATGCCCGGCGGTAAGCTATATCTGACTCCCTGGAAAATCTGAGACTCCTCTCTTCCCAAGTTTGTGACCGAAAGCAATGGCCAGGATACCAGAAGGAAGGAAGAGAATGGGAAGGAAAAAAGGAGGAGATAAAAAAAAGGAAGGACGCAATAAAAGGAAGAAAGGATGCGATAAAAGGAAGGAATGAAGGATGAGATAAAAGGAAGGAAGGAAGAGAGGACGAGATAAAAGGAAGAAAGGATGAGATAAAAGGAAGAAAAGACTACTTACCACATGTTAACATGTTAATAGTTTTGTCAACTTTTGAGATATTGGGCACTTCTACTTTTGACTCGTCTGGCACTATGTTGATGGAGGGATGCATTTTGTCTGTCTGAACAGCAACTGCAACAAAAGTAGTCTTCTTCTTGACAAGAGGTGGTATAGGGTCTTCATAAATTCTATCCTTGCGCTTTGTCTTTGTAATATCACAATTCTCACTGCTGCAAAGAAATTATATACATACATTATTTGATGAAGGTAAATCAATTCTGTGGGAGGTAGTAGGTTGGTAGACAGCAACTGCCCAGGGAGGTACTACCATCCTGCCTAGCAAGTGTAAAATGGAAACCTGTAATTGTTTTACATAAGGGTAGGATTGCTGGTGCGTTTTTGTCTCAAACATGCAAGATTTGAGGTACATCCTGCTACAGTGGACCCTCGGTTATCAGCTGTTCTGCTTATCGGCCATTATTTTGCTTATCGGCCGTATTGTACCCGTCCACCCAGCAGCCACAGCCGCTCGCACATCTCATGAGTCAGGGTCTCTCTGGGCATGTGAGGAAGCTTCTGCTCGTTCATCCAAACATTTCGCAGGCAGGGAGTGTAGCAGGAAAATGGAGTGTGGAAGGGAGGCAGGGAGTGTAGCAAGCAAAAGTCATGTCAAGTCCAGTCGAGCAAGTCCAGCCAAGTCGAGCAAGTCCAGCCAGTCAGTAAATCACAAACTTATAATTACCTCATTCTTTATATGTGCCAAAGTGATGCTTCATTATGGCCACAGGCTATCTTTTGTCTAATATCTCTATTTTCTTTGTAAAGTCTAAGACTTAAATGCTTATACCTATTCTTGCCACTTTCAGCAACACTGGTATGCCTACCGGGTGTCATGACTGCTTGGCAGATACAATATATGGTAATTACAAGGTCTAAACTCAGTCCACAAACAAAAATAAATACAGCTAGTCCCTAGCAGAGAATGGTCCTACACACACACGAACTCAAGACTGGGACAAGGATGGTGGGGGTGGGGTTGGCAGGGGATGGTGGTCCCCCCCCCAGTTGACTCGATGGTCTAACCCACAGCCAGAAGTATCCCATGGGCGACGCTCCAAATTTTTTCCCCTCCCACAAACTGAACCGTGTTAAGTTAGTTTTACAAAGTGTTGTATAAAACTGCCACAATTCTTCAATAGTGCTATAACCAAAGTGTGCAAAATAAACCTGTGTTAAGTAATGGTCTACTGTATATCAAATTTTGCAGTCCTGGTGTCATTATCTTTAGAAAAATAATCTTCTAAAATAGTAGTGAGAAAAAAAAATGAGGTTTTTAATCTGGGGGAAGGGGAATGTGGACAGTGAGAGGGTTAAAGTTTTAAATAAACAGTATAATGTGTTAGATTTTAGTTTCACTGTTAATGTAACCGGAAATTTGTCAGATTTTTACAAATGAATCCTGTTTGTATCAGATTACTAAACACGTAGCAAGATTCAGAAATTTTATACGTGTTTTCTTTTTTCAATTTGCAAGCCTCACGGGAGTGCCTATAATTAGTAACTAGTAATTACATTGGCATCTTGGAGAAATTAAGTTAGTAATGTTTAACCTTCCTAGCTTATTTAATTCTAATTCAGCAGAAGGCATTTCCTTATATACACGTACAGTGGTCCCTCAATTATCGTCCTTAATCCGTTCCTGGAAGTGGGACTATTATCGAAATAAACGATTTTCGAATCAATTTTCCCCATAAGAAATAATGCAAATCCAATTAATTCATTCCATACACCCAGAAATATCAATTTTTTTTTTTACCTAAAAGATAGATTTACATGCACAAAAGAATGAACATTCAACATGACAATACCTTTGTTGATGAATGGAAGACAGGGAGGAGGAGAGAGGGAAGAGAGGTTATTGTTTGGAAGGGGAATCCCCCTTCATAAGGACTCTAGGTCACTTCAGGGGTCACTTCCCTAGCATAAATATAGATTTATATGCAGAAAAAAATGCCAAATAAATGTAAAGCACTAATAAAATGTATAAATGAACACTGGTAATAGGGGTAGTTGATGAGTGGAACGGTCTGCCTAGTAGGGTGATCGAAGCTAAAACATTGGGTAGCTTCAAATTTAATTTTTTTTTTATTATCACACTGGCCGATTCCCACCAAGGCAGGGTGGCCCGAAAAAGAAAAACTTTCACCATCATTCACTCCATCACTGTCTTGCCAGAAGGGTGCTTTACACTACAGTTTTTAAACTGCAACATTAACACCCCTCCTTCAGAGTGCAGGCACTGTACTTCCCATCTCCAGGACTCAAGTCCGGCCTGCCAGTTTCCCTGAAACCCTTCATAAATGTTACTTTGCTCACACTCCAACAGCACGTCAAGTATTAAAAACCATTTGTCTCCATTCACTCCTATCAAACACGCTCACGCATGCCTGCTTGAAGTCCAAGCCCCTCGCACACAAAACCTCCTTTACCCCCTCCCTCCAACCTTTCCTAGGCCGACCCCTACCCCGCCTTCCTTCCACTACAGACTGATACCCCTTGGAAGTCATTCTGTTTCGCTCCTTCTCTCTACATGTCCGAACCACCTCAACAACCCTTCCTCAGCCCTCTGGACAACATTTTTGGAATCCCGCACCTCCTCCTAACTTCCAAACTACGAATTCTCTGCATTATATTCACACCACACATTGCCCTCAGACATGACATCTCCACTGCCTCCAGCCTTCTCCTCGCTGCAACATTCATCACCCATGCTTCACACCCATGTAAGAGCGTTGGTAAAACTATACTCTCATACATTCCCCTCTTTCCCTCCAAGGACAAAGTTCTTCGTCTCCACAGACTCCTAAGTGCACCACTCACCCTTTTCCCCTCATCAATTCTATGATTCACCTCATCTTTCATAGACCCATCCGCTGACACGTCCCCCTCCCAAATATCTGAATACATTCACCTCCTCCATACTTTTTCCCTCCAATCTGATATCCAATCTTTCATCACCTAATCTTTTTGTTACCTCATAACCTTACTCTTTCCTGTTTTCACTTTTAATTTTCTTTTTTTGCATACCCTACCAAATTCATCCACCATCTCTGCAACTTCTCTTCAGAATCTCCAAGAGCACAGTGCCCATCAGCAAAGAGCAACTGTGACAACTCCCACTTTGTGTATCTTTATCTTTTAACTCCACGACTCTTGCCAAGACCCTCGCATTTACTTCTCTTACAACCCCATCTATAAATATATTAAACAACCACGGTGACATCACACATCCTTGTCTAAGGCCTACTTTTACTGGGAAATAATTTCCCTCTTTCAATACTCTAATTTGAGCCTCACTATCCTCAAAAAAACTCTTTACTGGCTTTCAGTAACCTACCTTCTACACCATAACCTGCAACATCTGCCACATTGCCCTATCCACCCTGTAAATACGCCTTTTCCAAATCCATAAATCCCAACAAAGACCTTTTTAAACCCTTATCTAAATACTGTTCACTTATTTTTCACTGTAAACACCTGGTCCACACACCCCCTACCTTTCCTAAAGCCTCCTTGTTCATCTCCTATCCTATTCTCCGTCTTACTCTTAATTCTTTCAATAAAAACTCTCCCATACACTTACCAGGTATCCCTCAACAACTATCCCCCTATAATTTTTGCACTCTCTTTGTCCCTTTGCCTTTATACAAAGGAACTATGCATGCTCTCTGCCAACCCCTAGGTACCTTACCTTCTTCCATACATTTATTAAATAATTGCACCAACCACTCCAAAACTATATCCCCACCTGCTTTTAACATTTCCATCTTTATCCCATCAATCCAGCTGCCTACCCCCTTTCTTTTTACCTACTGCCTCATGAACTTCCCCCACATTCACAACTGGCTCTTCCTCACTCCTACAAGATGTTATTCCTCCTTGCCCTATACACGAAATCACAGCTTCCCTATCTTCATCAACATTTAACAATTCCTCAAAATATTCCCTCCATCCTCCCAATACCTCTAACTCTCCATTTAATAACTCTCCTCTCCTATTTTTAACTGACAAATCCATTTGTTCTCTAGGCTTCCTTAACTTGTTAATCTCACTCCAAAACTTTTTCTTATTTTCAACGAAATTTGTTGGTAACATCTCACCCACTCTCTCATTTGCTCTCTTTTTATATTGCTTCATCACTCTCTTAACCTCTCTCCTTTTCTCCGTATACAGTGGACCCCCGCATACCGCACGCATCGCATACCGTACAATCCGCATACCGCTCGCTTTTTTCGCAAAAATTTTGCCTCGCATACCGCCCAAAAACCCGCTCACCGCTCTTCGTCCGAGACGCGTCCAATGTGCGGCCTGAGCCACACTCGCATGTTCCGCCGGTGGCATTGTTTACCAGCCAGCCTCCGCGGTAACATCCAAGCATACAATCGGAACATTTCGTATTATTAGTGTTTTTGGTGATTTTTTCTGGAAAATAAGTGACCATGGGCCCCAAGAAAGCTTCTAGTGCCAACCCTACAGAAAAAAGGGTGAGAATTACTATAGAGATGAAGAAAAAGATCATTGATAAGTATGAAAGTGGAGTGCGTGTCTCCGAGCTGGCCAGGTTGCATAATAAACCCCAATCAACCATGGGCTACTATTGGTGGTACAGCTGCTGCTGCTGCTGTACCACCATCAGCTGCTGCTGCTGCTGTACCACCTTTCAGCTGCTGCTGCTGCTGCTGTACCCCCACGTCAGTTTGCTGCTGCTGCTGCTGTACCACCGTCAGCTGCTGCTGCTGCTGCTGTACCACCGTCAGCTGCTGCTGCTGCTGCTGTACCACCGTCAGCTGCTGCTGCTGCTGCTGTACCACCGTCAGCTGCTGCTGCTGCTGTACCACCGTCACTGCTGCTGCTGCTGTAGCACCGTCTGCTGCTGTTTGTAGAAACCGTTTTTGCTGCTGTAGCACCGTGTGCTGCTGCTGTAGCACCGTGTGCTGCTGCTGTAGCACCGTGTGCTGCTGCTGTAGCACCGTGTGCTGCTGCTGTAGCACCGTCTGCTGCTGTTTGTAAGCACCGCCTGCTGCTGCTGTACACCGTCTGCTGCTGCTGTTTACACCGCCCTGCTGCTGCTGTAGCACCGTCTGCTGCGCTGTAGCACCCGTCTGCTGCTGCTGTAGCACCGTCTGCTGCTGCTGTAGACACCGTCTGCTGCTGCTGTAGCACCGTCTGC